TACATGGGAAATTGAAATATTATCAAGTTATTGGAACAGTTTTTTTTATTAATTGTTAGAGAGATGTGTTTCGATAGACGTTTGTAAACACTCGAAGATTAATCTGCCCTTCTTAGTTGAAATATTTTATCTGCAATCCCGAAACTAAAGTTTTATCATTTGGTTTATTCCAAAATGTGTTTCAAAACATAAACTTGCAAAAGTTTCCATAGCATCGCTATACCACCACACTAGAATTTTGTCCAAGTACAACGAATAAGATTCAACTATTCCAAGGTAATATCGTGAGCTTTAATAGCAAATATAAACGCAGATTCCAAAGGCGAGTATGGAAACCATGATATTTCCTAAGTTTCCAGTTAACTTGTTCAACAACACGAATATTAACGTCACTCGCAAGAAATAAAAGAAAAATTTGTTATGCCACCAAACGAAACAGACCGAATTTTTCGTCCTATGTTTTTATTGAAAAAGAAAGGAATAAGAAGAAAACAATGTTGCCAACGGTCACTCGATATCATACAAAGCTCGTCGACTTGTCCCCGATATTTTCGCTGAAAATTCGGAACGAAACGTCGTACTATGTCATAACTATGTATCGGGAACGTTGCATCGAATGACAGACAGCGTAATAACTCGGCCGAAAAGAAGGTTTTGGGAAACTATGAGACGCCCTCCAAGCAAAGAATGAATTTTCTGACGTTTAATATTTGCGTTGAAACGACAGTTCTTGACCGAAGATTCGACCGTCTTGGTATACTTTGATGCAGCGTCACAGTTATGAAGGCAGATTCTTTGTTTCACGGATCAACAATTTAAATATTTCGTCAATTGTAACTTCCTCTTTTCGTGTCTTAATAGAAAATGTCACGTGTCAGATATTACTTTTGTTCGCCAAAGAACATCTCTACTGTGTTGCGAATTCTCGACTAAAGAGCAACCGGTCAGGTTAAACCGGTCGGTCGATATCGCGTACCTCAAATGACTTAACGCTCAAGGTGGAGGAGGTTTAATAGATCGAGTGTCAGAGTAATCTAGCACTCTATTTGCACTTGTTGTATAAAGGTAACGTTTGATGTTCTGAACACGGCGTTAAGATCTTGTTGAGAGTGAAGTATTTCATCCGCACGGTACGATGTCTGATGATGAACTGTCCTCCCACGTTGCTGATTCTCCCTACCAGCCGTTGAGTTTCGTCCCTTCATCATGCCTTTCCGGCTGGACTTTTTCCGGGGTTTTTCACCTGACCTCTCAGTCATTAGGTTTGCAGCTCGGGGAGGACATGTAATTCGGAATTTCCTAAAGAAGGGAATGGGCTGTCCGTGCCATAAACGGATGACCACTTAAAATTTCGAACATACTCTAACAATCACGATTACACCTTCGTAGCCGGTATACTTTTCTGGTGGTATTACCAAGTGATCGAAGCAACTTTGAGTTAATAAATATTTATCGTGTCTCGACTTTGAAAACAAATTTTAAATGCCGCCATTGTGGCGACATACGACTGTAGAAGATTAATTCTTCTTACTTAACGAAGACGCCCTGCAACGTTCGCAAAGCACCAAACTATCAAACAAACATCAGCAACACCGGTTTCATCAGGATGAAACGCGAAACTATTATTGACAGAAGCAAGTCACGTAATAGGACCGAGCACACGTTTCTGTTGAATTACCAGTTCTCAATGAAACGTTTCCTCGTTACAAAGAGAAGTAAGAGGGATAGGGTCCGGGGATAAATAGGGAGGCGGAGAAGCGGTCTAATTTTAAGCGTCGAAGTACGCGCCGCGCCATGTAAACGAATGAGAACGAGGTCCGCATTTCCTAGTGGCGAACGCTTGGATTTGAGCCTAATGGCCCGTTGACCTTTCAGCACCTGTTGATCGCCGTTTATCAACGATTTGCATGCGCAGATTTGCTCGGATCACCTGACTTCGCTCGGCGAAATGAAAAGCTTATCCTCGAGCAGCGCGTTGATCGACGTAGACAATCTCTCTGGAAGCGTGATGCGTCGCGATGTCCCATGATTCGTAGCGAAGTTCAAATTTATTGATTTTCGATTCGCTACCGGTGCCTCGCTCTGTCTCGCTCTTCAACCCTTTTCCTCGTCTCTCTATCTTTCTGAATCCCTCGCTGCTCGAGTTTCCTCTCGTTATTAGGAAATTGAGATGCTCGATAACTAACAGTTGCCAGAATTCTCATCGATTTTTGATAACGATGAAACGTCCTGTAAACTGAAGAATTTCAATGGAAAACCTCGACGATAGCCTTGAAAAGCATGCAACAAGCCAGAGATGTTAGTTGATGACCAATAGCCGTCATTGAATCGCGAATGAAGAGGTATAAGTGGAATTGGAGAGAAGTTGAGAAGGATTAATGGCTTCATGCTTGATACAGAGAGATTAATGTCTTGCCTTTGATCGGGATTCCAGGTTGACTTATAGCGTGTTTCCTTTTCATAGTAAGAATCATTGATTCGTAGAAAGCTGTAGATTAATTTTTTTCACTTTTTTAACAGAGGCTGTGATTTTGTGTGATATTTTAAGAAGGCTTCCGTTTCCTTGCTCTTATCCTGTGTCTTCAAGTTCGAAACCCGACGAAGTTGTTACGTTGTTTGAATTCCGCTGCAAGTTCTTCCGGCCGACATTGATTATCGTGAACGTTGGAATATTAAGGGTGTCTGCTTGAATACTTTAAGCATGTAATTAGAATGATACGGCTAAATTGAAAGAGAAAAGGAATTGTGTAGACAATGCGGAAACAGTCTAGTTGTTTAATGAAATTGAAATATTTTATGTAACAACATCGATTAATTATGTTCTTTCGCGTTTTATAAAATGTTATATTCAAGAATTATATTGATACTTATTATCATTATACATATTATATTGTATTGATATTTCGTCATATTTATGGATAAACTTTCGTATGACTTCATCTTCTTCTTATAACAAGAGATATTTTACAACTAAACTTTTTACGAATGGTTTCGTTCAGTGTACACCGTCTTATATTTTTACAATGAGCAGAGCAATAAACTGCAACTGTTGGTGCTACAAAACGCAGAATGGCTAAAAGTTGAAGTATTCCCTGTGATGATAGTAAGCCGGTATCGTGTTACAAATTGACTGTAAAATGCAGAACACACTTGCCATGCCAAGGGTGAAATCCAGTGACAAGGAGCTCTGAAATACGAACGCTCTCTCCGTCACCCTGGTGCAACCTCGCTACGATCTCTTCGTAACTGTCGTAATTCGTTTTATCGATACCAACTGGGAAGATTGCTCGGGCGAAGAACAGGATTTCTCGAACCATCGTTATCCCACGAACGAATTATCTCTCGTAAAACACAAGAATCGATGCACTGCAAACATTATCGGCAATATTTCGTGAGGTTTACGACGGTTGTTTTGTCACAACCTTTCTTTGCACCTTTGTCATTCTAGTGAATCTCTCCCTTAACGCGATATCTTGTAAAGAAATTTCTTTCTTCAAAGAATTTCGAATCGTTTTTTTTTTTTTTTACTATTATTATATTTATTATATTATTATATATTTATTATTATATTATTATATATATATTTATTTCCTGTATGAAGGAATAAAAGAAGAATTTTGCATAGAAGATTTCTTGGTACCTAGAATTTTTGGATTCATTGTAAACTTTTTCACTATTTTTAATCTTTCTCTTTATCTCCAATTGTTTCGTTCTATCGTGCTATTTTCCAATATCGAATATCGAATAAAAAAGACAAAATCACTTTTTTACATAAAAGTATAGAAACAATTCTATACAAAAAATGTCTTTATTCCAAGAATTTCAATGTTTTCTAACCGTTTTCATTGTATTTTTAACTTCTCTGCTTATTTTTATACTTTTTAGCCTGTTTTACCATATCCAGTATCAGACACGCGTTACCATTAACTGGAAAACGAGAAATCTATTTTCTGCGTGAAAGAGTAAAAAGGTATAGAAAAATCAATCCAATCGATTTTCATCTCTTTAACTGAAACCGGTTTGTACATATTTCGCTCTTTTAAAGTAGTAGTCTGCCTTCGATCTTTTCGATGCGCTTAACCTTGAGAGTGAAATATCGTTTGCATTCTCAGCGCCTTTTACCTGGCCACAAATTCCCCTTTGAGCCGAGTTGAAAAGTAACGACAGGATTAAATATTTATCCTATCGAGCGGTTCGGCAAGTCGGTGATATCATGTCGCATGAGGATGGTAAACCAGGGTATAACGTCACCGTAAACTGGTCACGAAAAAACGGAAATCTCGAGAAACGACATGCCAGCATATAGAAAAATACAATGTAACTTAACTATGCTTTTCATCGCTGTGCATCTTGTCATATTATGATAATCTCACTCGAAAGCGTCGAGTTGCCTGCTAGGCTCCAGTGACGCGTAAATGATTGAATGATGTCTCAAATAACATTATTTGTATCCTGGGTATACAATATCATGCAACAAATCTTATAGTTAGAAATAAAACAATATTAAAAGATGTTAAAAAATGTTATAAAATACATGTTTCTTTTTTAATCCTACTGAAATATATAATTCTTATTGAAAGTAGTAGAAAGGAAACTTTTTTTTTAGAGAGAAACTTTTTTTAAAATTCAATATATGTCAATCAATTTTATATTGCCATCTCCACTATTTTTATTTGATTTTAATATTAATATGTATGTGTATGTACATATATGCTTGACTCTTTGTTGAATATTTCAAAAGTATTGATTTTTTATTGTTACGAAATTCAAGATTAATAAAAACAGCTGAATTTCGATGCAGGTTTCGGGTTTAATTTAAAATATAAATATAATGTAATTTATTTTTTGCAGCAATTAACTAGATAGGTAATTTGTAAATAAATAATCTGAAAGATTTGCAATCCGAATGATCAGTTAATTCGTTTTCGCTAATTAATAGAGAAAAATTATCATTATCCCCATAACCAATTATAACGAAGGATAATTCTTTTTGTCAACAGTTGTTCATGATCGATAACTGCGCGGACGATTGGCGGATCGCGATGACCTGGCAGAGGATCGCGCAGATTTCACTCGAGTTGTTAATCTGTGCGATCCATCCGATCCCAAGGGAAGATTATTTCCTGTGGACGACCAAGCTGGCAAACAAGGGCGGTAACATCGGTTCGACATGGGTGCCATACGACGTCATCCTATCGTTGCCGATGTTCTTCAGACTCTACCTCATCTGTCGCGTTATGCTGCTGCACTCGAAGCTGTTCACGGACGCCTCGTCGCGCAGCATAGGGGCCTTGAATCGTATTAACTTCAACACCAGATTCGTCCTGAAGACCCTGATGACCATCTGCCCGGGAACCGTGTTGCTAGTCTTCATGGTCTCCTTATGGATCATCGCCTCGTGGACGTTACGCCAGTGCGAGAGGTAAAACAATTAGAATTTATTTTTATTTTTAATTAGTGTTTAATTTCGTATTACATATACGTAATGTTATTGGCCAGACTTTAGGAAAATATACGTATTACATGCGAAACATCAATATTATAGCAATCAAGAAAAACAAACTATTCGATAATTAGAATTCTTTTCTTTTGAAGTTAGTAACTCTCAGATACAGATATTTGTGAGTTCTCATTATCCTGGTTATAAACTACACAGACCTTTATTTTTTTTTTAAACCAATATCGCTTTAATTCCATACAATATTTTCCACAATGCTACGTGATTTTACAATCCTTCGATCGTTCCTCCAATACTAACCGATAACAAGAACATATAAATCGACTAATGTATTGATAGAAGATTACAGAAGAAAATTTGTCGTCCTTTAATTTATATCTTGCTACCACAAAAATATCCCCTTTTATATTTTTACCATTGTCTTCAATATATACATATATATCTTTTTTTTCAGAATGTTTTGAAACTTGGATTTGAAATATCGAAATATTTTATAAAACACGTATAATATACGTATAATAAAAGTATTCAAATACAACTTTCGTGAGCCAGTGTGCATAAATATATAAATTAAAAAATAGATCCATTGCACATTTCATAATCCATACACAATCTGCGAACATTGTGAGACCATAAATAACGCATACAGGACAAACACGTAGATCTTGGCGATTAACGTTCGAACGTCAAAGAGACTGGAACGTAGGGATCGGTAGTTAAAACGACAATGAAGGATTTACTACAGGGCTCGAAATTGCCGGGCCGCGTATAATTAAATTCTCCTGTAAATAGCGGAGCCGATTTAGGGAATCGTAAAGAGCATCGAAACGATCAATCTTGCGGGCCAATATAAGACTTCGCCAGTCTCTCGCGCGACTAAGCGCCATACCTTTAGATTTTTTCTCTTTTTCCTTTCCCGTCGTTGCTCTCGATAAAACCTTCGTTCGACTTTTTCCTCTTTCCTTCCCGATGAATAGATCTCTTCCAGTCTTCTGCCCTTAAATAAGACATCCACCGACTACTATCGTTCTCTCTTTTCCTTATCTCGATGCGTCTGTGCCGGACGAAGAGGAGACGAGTTAAATTTTCGTCCATGTATGTATTGTCGAAGCTATTCTCTCTTTCTATTTCTATTTCATTCACGATCCTCTTCCTGAGGTCGATGCCTGCCTTCGAAGAAAGGATCTTCCCGATTCTTTAAGTTGGATGCCAATGAAATTTTCTGAGAATTTATAACGCTGCTTCGACAAAGACACGTTCCGGAAAGATTGCAACAGAAGATTCGTAGAAGGTGATAAGATTTATATATAAAATCTGTCTGTTTGGTGAAGTGCTTGTTAACACGTTCAATGTGGATCTGTTTGGGAAACACTTCGATACATGCTGAGCACTTACTTAATTACGAAAAATGTAATTGATCGGTTTGGCTTCTGAGAGATTCATATTTAATAAGAAATCACAAAATCTATCAATATGATATATCAATATATCTATTCGTAAAGCTGTCGTTCATGTAAAGAGAGAATACATTTTTTTGTGCTTAGAACTTGAAAAAGGCCATTTTGTTCTATTGCTGTCTTTTTCGTGTTACTTTTTCCTTCATTACCCTTCATCTCGTTTTCCCAAAGTCCGAGTTTCTTCCGGAATTAGAATTTTACACACACGATGCAGGGTGGAAACGAACCTTTTCCTCGAGATCCACCGACTCGTTTGTAAAAGGAGCTCTAATGGAAACTCTCTGTATCTTTTTATTTCCATGCGTGCAAGGCAAAGATAAAGTCGCGTTACAGTTTTTACTTATATTTTATCATGATCGTTGTCGACGCAAAATTCAATGTAATAAGATATCACGACGAAATAGCTACACGATGCACTAGATAGACATTAAATTGTAATATTCTCTTTCTTAAGTAATATGATGATTTATTAAGCAACGTTCTAGAAAATAATTCATTTTTAAAGATAACCTTTGCAGATATCTAAGAATTTACGACTTTTCAAGTATATTACTTTCTTAATAAACTGTCAACATTCTTTACCACTGATATTCAGTTGCCAATATCGATGGCAGATTTTCGTTTTAGAGCAGTAGGCATTATCATCTTCTTTCGGCAGGTAATCTGCTAGATCGTGTGCTTCCTTTCCCATTTTATGGTCTCAGCCTGTCTTATCTAGTACCTTTAACGCTTTTCGATGCTTTTAACGATGAGAAATGTTACGGCCAATAGCTTGACACTTTTCAAGCTTTTAAGATTACCCGTATTTTTTACCGCTGAATTACACGCCTCTGTTGTCATACTTTTATGATTGATCTTTATGTCCAACAATGATATTTTCTTGCAGATTATTATAAAACATGGTAATAAGATTCGACATATTTAACGAATGAGATTTGATCTTCTGTTTAATCCAATTTTATCATTCGCTCGGTTTAATGAATTTCATATAATCATTTTTCATTAACCTAATATTTTATTCTAATATTCAAAATAAATTGGAAAATGGACATTTCATTACTTTACTTGGAGTTTATTTCAATAATTTCAAACTGAATGACAATTTATTTTAACTATACGCCAGAAACGTTTTGATCCTTATGTCTACCTTCCTCTGTCAAATAGGTAGATCATGCAGTCGTAATAGTGCAAGAAGTCTTACGAAAGCAACCACTCAATTACGTTTTCTTCCTCCATCTGTCTCCCATTGAGGCATACAACGTACCACGCTCGATTTCGAAAATCCCACATCTCGTTCCGCCATCTTTCCATCGTTTCAATTATTTCGAGAGGGAACCGTACTTTTGGCGAAAACACCTCACCGCGTAACCCAATTACGTGCTTTAATACCGACCGTGCTAATTAAAAAAAGTGCTTCAATTGATGAAGCGAGACGGGGGTGGAATCGCTCTTAATGGCGTTTAAACATGTTACGGCGAATAAATTGGAAACGTCGCAGATAAGGGAATGTTGGCATTAGTATAATTTGAAAAATTCTTGAAAACAAAATTAATAATTTGACGAATTAGATGGAGAAGAGTTGCAAAGCTGTAATATATTTGTATGCATATTTCAAAACAATCTCTTTTATCTCTTGACATTTATATCTACTGTATCTTTTGTTTAATCACAACAAAAAAATTTGCCTTTTTCTCTTTCGCTTTACATACATGAGTATAAAAAGTATTTTTGCGCAGAATATTCAATCCAATTTCCAATAAACAAAATGTCTAAAAAATATAAATCATTGAAGATATAAGAATAAAATCGAAGAATGGAAACTAAAACGTGATTGGAAACTAAAACAAACCGTGGGATTGTAGGTCTAGCGACATCAAAACCAAAGTACCAAATATCGGTCGATGAATCTGCTTCGATCTCTCGAGTACAGGGATCGTGCTCCGAACAAGCAGCAAAAGAGATCTCGCCCTAAAAGGAATCTGCTGTAACACTAACTGTCCCATTAGAAGAGTTCGGTTTAACGACCAGGATTAGTCGAGGCGCGTGTTATTCTCATGTCCCACCCTGGTTAACGATTTCCGATAATGAATTTCATGGATTCGACCGGTCGAAGAAAAGACCTCGTTTGCTCGTGTACGCATTTTAACAAACGAGATTGAAAGCGGCGGTGTTATTATCATAACAGGCGCCGTTAATCTTTCGGGACTTTTTGTTCTCGAGCAGCAATTTAACTCGAGTAAATGCATTTGTAATTCGTTTTTTAATTCAGCCTCTTGTCATGCAAATCACAAGCGTATGCATCGCCTGGATGCGGTTTAACGGTTTCGAAAATCGAGCTTAAGCAATTAACTGGTTAGAAGGGTCGCGGAATAATGGTGGTATTGTAAGGATATGCTCGTTAATGTTGCGCGTAGTTTTGAGAAGTATGAGGGAGAGCGTCATGAAAAGAAAGTAAGAATAGATAGGGATACATAGCATTGGAAAAGTTCTTATCGATATACGTTCATATCACACAGGCTCATGAAAGTATAGTGGAAATATAATATATAGGGGAAGAAAGGTAAAGAAAAGCACGAACTTTTCTTTGAACAGCTTTAAAGAATAATTCTAGTGTCAGACTTGTTTGAACGTTGTCAGTATTGTCTTTGCGTCACATATAGTTTCTGCGTTGAACTATGGTCTCTCGACTATAGATATTTATACAACTTCATATTTTTATGAAAATTTTATAAAAACATACTTACTTGTTTATTTCGGTACACGTAAATTTTCTATAAATGTGTAACATCCGCTGTCTAACAATAATTACTTGTTGTACCTAATGAAGCTTTATAATATTATAATATATTTTAATTATATCTTTATAATATAATATTATTACATATAAAGAAACAATATTTTTTATGCAATATAATTAAAATATAGAAAGAAAATGTACGATAAAGTGTAACACATCATGCGACTAGGAGAATGGTAGTAGCGTAAGTGAAAGTAGAGTAAGACCATGCGTAGTCAGACTTGTTTTACTGACTCTCAAGATTTTAATAAACGACGATCTTCCATAACGTTTCCTCTTCCTATATTATATTCTTAGCTATCTCAGATTAGCTAAAACTTCAAATATCTTTAAACAATTTTATACAATACTTTTAAGGCACCAACTTATTAATATATTCTTTGCTATTAAATTTGCACTGGAAAACTGTATTATTCCATCGGAAGTGTCTTTGTATTAAGCAATTTATATTAAGCTGAAATTTCATTGTTAAATAACTGCACTGACGCGTCAATGGCAATAAACGTGTTAAGGAAAAGAAAAATTCCAACCTATACGATATAATTTTGAACTATTTTTTGGCACTGAAATCAGAATCAGTAGTGTGCAGTTATCTCTTAACGAAATCTCACCGTAATTGCGAATGAAATAAAGTATTTAATGAAACATTTAATCGTCGAGTGATACGATTATTTATCGGAGCCTAATTTAAACGTCGACTAATATTTTATCATGTTTTTCGTTTTACGGCGGCAGGTTTCACGACGAGGAGCACGCGAATCTCCTTAATGCTATGTGGCTCATTGCTATCACGTTTCTGAGCGTCGGTTTCGGTGACATCGTGCCCAACACGTACTGCGGTCGAGGTATAGCCGTTTCTACTGGAATAATGGTAAGGCCAAGATCCAAAATTTAATATAGAAATTCTCGCGAGATTTGCATGCACCTACCGCATTTCTCTAGGGATAGCATGTTAACTAAAATCTTTCATAGATTTTGATAGTAAATATTAGACTGAAACCATAGTTGTATTACAATATGGAAATTCTCGCAAGATTTACACATCTATCGCATTACTTTGAGGACAGCACATTGAAAGAGAAATGCTATTGATCGTGTCATAATATTCTATTATATTGTACTATACGTAAAAATGATGCCTATAAAGAATAAAATCAATGCTGTTCGTTTTATCCGTAATACTTTAATTAAAACACTTGTCTTGTCAAAAATAAGCAAGTGTCTGAATATTTTTCGCATTTTTAAATACATCAAAAACATTTATTACGTATATTTAATATTAAAATTACTAAGACAATCAAAATAAGCGACTCGTTATATTTCATAGGAATTTTATAAATTTACGATAATATGTTTGCTCGCTTCTCTCTTTGCATTGCACATTTTTCATTTTGATTCTATAAATTTATGCTTTAATCGTTGGCAGTTCGTGAAACGTAGATTCAAATCTCTTTCGTACAATTATAACAAGAAGATGCCGATGAAATCTGCACGGGTTCTCGTCAAAAATATTTAATAGAAATTTCAACATGTTTCGACAGTACAAAGGGAAAGCAAGTGCTATCGATCGCAGCATCGCGCCAAGTGCAGTTACGATGCATTCGAAGCGACACTTTGTGACGATAAACGCGACAGCGTGTTCCAATCTCTCCATTGGGAATGCGCCTGGTTCCTTATTGTTACTGCTCACTGTGACTGATGCTAATTCACGGATTTGGAATCACTCGTAGCTGCGAATCGTTAACCAATTTAATAGTCATGGCCAATTCTCCCTTTTCACTTAACAAACGTGTTCAAATTCTGGATGGTCCAATAATATTCACGTGTATCGCCTTGATCCTCATTTGATTGTATATCGGATGATACTCTTAAATTAATCGAGCTCGAAGATAACTTTATGGTTTAGATAAATTTATAGGAAGCGGTTACTCTTCATTGTTAGAATAATAAATACCTTGATTTCACTTTATATTTTAACATTTTACTTTTTAGTATACTATATAATTCTTTTTTTATGTATCGCTAAATTGTTGCAATGTACTCATAACAGGTGTTAATTCCTAGTATTTAGAACAAAGTAAAAATCTATGATTTATTAAAATTTTTTCTCACGAGCAAGTGAAATTTTAATCACAAATGAACAAACTTCTATTTTCGAACGAGGACATCCTTTTTGTACAGTGGCGAGCGTATAAATGGGGAAGTGCTTACTCGTAAATTCAACCAATTATATTACACCAAATTTTATTTCCATTTTTTTCTTTTTTTATAATATAGGATTCAAAAATACAGCATGTACTTTGAATAGAAAAGAACTTTCAAATCTTTATTTCTAGTAATAATTATTAGACTGCGGATATTTATACATTTAAGGGAAATATTCAAAGTTTAATAGTCATTATAATGTTTCATCATTTCCTTATGATATAAGTCTCCACAAACATTTGTAACTCGAATAACAGCGAACTAAATTAAAAAAGTTTAATTTAATACAAAAATTGTCCCTACTTACGATATATTTGAAACATTAGTTCTTCAAAGAATGTTGTTTACGATCTTCGGTAAAGGTTTCCGCTTAAATAAAAAATTCATAACACGACACTCGAGAAGAATCAGCTACTAAATTTTAAAAGAATTATCCTCTACATTGTGATATGGCTAATTCGTGGTCCGGATTCTAGCAGCGAATTAGATTTATACCATGTTCGCGTCCCTCTTGTGTCCAGAAAAACAGATTACACGTATAATGGAATCAAATATGGGGTATTGCTACCGCAAAGTGAATATAATTCCACCGACACAGAATGGAGAAGATTACATCTTTAATCGGGACAAAATACCATGTGTTCGTGGTCAGAATTCCTTATTAGTCACGTGGTAACTTCATCAACGAGGGGACAAGAACTTTTATCAACAGACAGAAGTCTGAAAACTTTCGAATGATTTTATATAAACGAACAAATCTGAAAATATAGAATAAAATCTTTTCGTGTGATGTACGATTTTGAGAAAATCGAGTTTCAAAATTTATCGAATAGATACATATTATGGAACTTGGTTAATTCCGAAGTGGGCAGATATGAATAATTAACATGTATGTGAAAGTAAAGTGAAAATGTAGAATAAAATTACATTTTGGAAATTTACGAAATATACGTGCACCAGTTCTTCACTAAACATGTTTAAATTCTTTTTTTTTCCTTTAACAGGGCTTTAAATGGAAAAGTTTCATTTTTTACTTTTTACGTACTTTCGCATACAGTATCGAACAAATTTTCAATGTCGACTTTCTCGAAAACAAAGCGTCATATGGAACATTTGATTCTGTATTTTCGACTTAGCTTTTCACGTAAAATCCCCTTGTCAATTGTGCCATGGTTTTGCCCAGAACCCTCTGTATAGGGTAACTTCAAACGTGAAACACGCGACAACCGATGAACCATGAAATTTTATCCACTTACAGAAAAGTAGAGTTTCTACCCTGAGAAAGTTCCTTTGGCCGAAGAATCAATCAATTTGGAAAGTTTTTATTCGATAAAAATCCATCGACGGCTACATCGTATTGCTGTTAGTTAGCAAACAGTCGTAAACGGGCAATAATCGAGGAAAAGACTATGAAATTCGTTTTACTTTGAGTCCTTTACTTTCTCGATAAAATTTCGCAGAGAAAATAACGTCAAGACGAAGTAATTTTCTGAGAGAAGTCTTTTACGTAGAAAACATGGCGGCCTCGCAAAATTTCCCCTGTACAAGGAACGAAAGGACGAAATTATATTTTTCGATGTTACGGAAAAAGAAAAATTACGAATACTTTCCTCGAAAATACACGAATTGTGAATTACGTTAGCGCATTAACGATGGAGCAGACCAATTCAAATGAAATTAATCGAAACAGATACATAACAATGTATAATGTAAATATAAAATACAAGTAGTTTAAATATTGATACGCATCTGAATATTTTTAAATAAATAGTGTAGAAATATATTAGTCAAATCTTCTGTAATTTCCTGTAATCAAAGTTTTATTTACTCACATACAAGCTGCAAATATCTATGCAATTTATGCAATTTTATAAAAGCTGTAGAAACGTAAAACATAATACTCATTATAATTGTTAATTTTTAATATACTTAATCATTTAATATTTACACGCGTGTGGTAAAAATGCTTCAGCGTTAAAGTATTAAAAAATATAATCCTTTGTAGCATTAATAAGACAAACGTTGCATACATGCAGTGCGCTGTGCATTTACAGACAATTTCTTCCAATGATGATGACTGAGAAGTTTTTGTTCAATTAACTCATATCTGGTTGAATTGCTAGTTTCGTAATTAAACATAGCGTGAATAGTTTCACAGGTACGTTTGACGGTGTTTTTAGGGCGCCGGATGTACGGCCTTGCTGGTGGCGGTTGTTTCCCGAAAGCTGGAGCTCACCAGGGCGGAGAAGCACGTTCATAACTTTATGATGGATACGCAATTAACGAAAAGGGTAAGACGCACCTGTTCGTACATCTCGCGGAGATTGTTCTTGTCTGTAACTATATATATATATATGTCTGGATAATTTTTGTGACATTAAACAACATGTTTCATGCACATTTTCGAAATCCACAGTATTTGTATCGTTTGTGAGGAATGCTTAATGAAATTCGTTTTATTTGAATTTTACTAAACGATACGAGTGAAGAGATCGCTTTGCAAAATAATCGACTATTTTAATACTTTGTATCTATTTTAGTTTCAATATTTTATGTTTCTTTGTTAACGAATTGTAATGTAAAATAATCTATAAAAGTTTTAATAAAAGAATGGCAAATATAGATGGAGGCTTCGCGTAAAAAACTTTGAGATTCATTTAACCTTTGGTTTACGACGACATTTTCATTTCCTGCAAATTCGATTCGTTGAAAATTCCCCCGATTATGTTCATATTTAACGCTTGTACATCGAACTCTACTTTACGAACTCGTTTTTAGTGTTTTCAAATGTCGTTGTTTATTAATCCGTGTATATTTCATAACGATATCCTCCACATAAATACGTATCTTATGATCACCTATTTATCTCGTTCTTAGAGAAAACGATACTTTTAACGAAAACTACTCTTTTCCGCCAATTTCTTCAATCGTAAATATTTCTCAAAAATACACGTCAGGTAGATACCCATCTTTAAACATTCAATTTCTACTTTACGATCCAAAAACCACTAAACTCGAGCAAGCTCGCATATCAGAGTTTCGATATCTCCATGATATGTATACCGATGTTGACGTACGAGAATCTTTCGCAACAAGAGAAGCGTCGCTCGTGTTTCCAGGCCGGATGCGAACCAACCAGACCATCTAATGTGTCATTGTCATTTCTACCCGTTCTTGATGGTTCGAGTGTCGTTATCGATCGTCCAGCCTGGAACAAGAGAATCGCATCTTAAAAGGCAAGAACTGCATCGACCTTCTGTCATCCACCGAAGGGGAAGACATGAAAAATGAGGGGAAGAAAAATGGCAAGCTAGGAACCAGACCTCTCTCGATAGTAACCTGAAAAATCGATTCATTTCTCTGCGAAGATCGAGGACGTTTCGTTCCATCTTCGCAATTTCAATCGATGAACCTTCGATATTTTCGAGTCTCAAGGGAACTTCAAGGCCCTTGATAAGCCAATTAACGAATCAGAGTATATTTCAAGCTACTTATGAAGTATTCAGTCTCGTCGCAGCCGACAAGCGGCATATGAACGGCAGCCATCTCGTTTCTGCCTCTCGATCGAAGACTTTAGTCACAACCAATGAATTAATTAATAGTTGGTGATATATATAAACCACGGAAATATCAAGGAGCAACAGCGATAGCGGTTACGTCATAAGTCAGGGAAAGTTCGTGACGTATCTTCTGAAGGCAAATCGAATGTTTAAAGTATTCTGTAAGTGTTATAGCGCGGTTATAAAATTAGCGGCGGCTTAAGTTTACGGCTTTCAAATGTCGAAACATGTAAATGAAGACATTTTTGAAGAAGTAAGGATCTTGTGTTCCTTTCAAGGCTGCCCGATGTTAATTCATTGGCAGGAACGTTTCTTCCTATGTCTTTCGAAAGTATACACCTTAATCTACATACATCGGTGATAGAGATGAGAACTTGTTTCTATTGTTTTCGACATAATTTCGTCCTAGATCTACCATCCATCGAGATAAACATCATCTCGATCGCTTCTCAGCAATTATCGAATGTATTTGAAATTACAGCGTTCCAACTTGGTTCATCAATACCCTCACATATTTAACTTTTATCCAATTAACCACGAACGAGGAAAGCTGCTAGGAAGAAGTATTATATCATACTTTGTAAAATAGTTCTGTTTGTAATTTTTACAAATGAAATTTTTACGCGTGAAATGTGATTGATGTTACGTAGTTTGTTTGTTGAGGAATTGTAGTTTGATTTGGGTTCTGTGGATGGTAATGATTCGTTTAGAGTCAGAACGAGATATAAATGCAGAATGTATAAATGATTAAAAGAAAAGAAAAAGAAGACAGAGGTTATCTTAAATCGATAAAGTCGATTATTGTAGCATGTTTAGTTTCTACTACAAACATTTGGTATATTGGCGTGCAAAGGAAGTTATAACGTGCCCAAGAGTGTTGTCTCGAAATCTATTTACCTTTCATCCTTAATTTCACTAAAATCAAACATTAAAACTTATTTATTTAACTTCCTTATTTACTTAAAAACCAAGAGGAGTATATTTTCTTTAAATGATTCCTCCCCATTTGTTCGAAAATTTATCGATACTGCAAATACGCTAAAATCAATTTCGCTAAAATCAAACATCACGACGACAAAATAACGCAATAAGTTCATTTATGTAAAAATCAAGAAAAGAATATTTGTTTGAAAAACGATTCCAATCGTATTTCGCTTGTTTCGTTTATTTTATTTATCTCGTATTTTATTCGACCAATATTTCGACTGTAATTCCATCAGAATCGAACATCAGGGGAATAAAAATAAACAGGCAAGGGATCCGTTAGTTAAACGCGGAATAACGAGATCCGTTCTCTTTCAGTTGAAAAACGCCGCGGCGAACGTGTTGCGCGAGACGTGGCTAATTTACAAGCACACTCGGTTGGTGAAGCGTGTCAATCCGGGACGTGTTCGAACACATCAGCGGAAATTCCTGCTGGCTATATACGCGTAAGTCGATGTACAAACACGTGACTAATTTGGCTTTGATTGGCATTGTACAATTCTGCTAGAACGAGAAGCGATTAACATTTCTCATCCACAATATCGAACGTTTCAGACTCAGGAAAGTGAAAATGGATCAGCGAAAATTAATGGACAATGCCAACACCATCACGGATATGGCCAAGGTACCAGCACGCAAGTAACATGCAATCCAATTAAATTTTCTTGGTCATCGCTATGACGATGAATCGTATCGCGTTGATCGATCAGAGCTTCTGTGTCTGCGAACAAGCTCTTCGTTTGGCGACCTATACTCTCCAACGTGATGAAAAAAATATTGTCTCCCGGTAACTCGTAACAACGCTGTCCGTTCGAGTCTGTTGTTCGTTAATCTCCATTCATGAAAGTTTTCAATTGTTCGACACACCGCGACTCTCATTGTACCACTGCTGATCCACTATGGTCGATGGCCATGATTGTGATTGCTCGAGGTCGTTGAACTGAAGAGCCAATATCTTATTTCTGAATCAAAGTTTGCGTACAATTATATTTCTAAACTATTTCACGTCTAAGACATGTTTCATGGTTTCAAGATGCTTTCAAAGCAGCAGTACGTTGGATAGAAAAGCAGAATTGTCCGAGGATATTAAACATTCGCTACTTATATTGTTGGGTTTATACTAATTACGATTTAAGGCCAGTAACTTAAGTTTATCGATTCTTTAAATGAAAAGGGGTGTTGTACTGGCGTGAAATTTCACCCATAATAACACGATAACATAATCTTTCTTGACGATAGTTTTTAAGGATTAAATTTTAACAAATGAATCGTTCTCGTATGAGCTGTTCAGAAGCCAGATTGATTATCTCCATAAATGGAAAAATAAAGAAAAGTGACACGAAATTGACAAACTTGCAATAGATGGAATTGATCGATTTGGCTTCCGAGAAGTTCATATATGATAAATCCAAACTAACTGCATTTAACAATTTTCGAAATAGACGCAGAACACAGTGTACGAGATAGTGTCACACATGAGCACGCGTCAGGACGGACTTGAAGAACGTCTAGTGAACGTGACGGATCAGTTGGTCGCCCTAGAAGAGAAACTGAGCAGTCTGCAGTCCCAGCTGGATCTGCTGCCAGAGGAATTGACCAGATGCTTGGCTCAGCATGCCGAGCGTATAGAGCAGAGGCGAAACTTCCTTCACCCGGATACCGCAGTCGCGATGGCGTCGACTGGAGGCGGTGGTAGCGGTATCCCAACCGGAAATAGCTTATCAATGGGCGTCTCCGTGTCCGCTCATCATCCTCTGGCCAATCTGTCAAACTCGCTGCCACACTCCAGGAGCGTCCCAAGCGCGCCCAGCACCACGTCCCTTCACCCTTGGCCGGCCAACTCGATCCTACCGCCAGTTTCGAGTCGTACGCCTCACCTGGTGCCTGAAACCGGAAGGCATCATAGTCTGGCACATTCCACGGTGGCCACGACCACGACCTCGCAGTCGGCCACCAGGTTCGCCTCGCAATCTGGAATGGGAGGACTGGGCAACAGTCAGGGGTCCGACACATCCCCACACAGCTGAGTCTCGTCTTTGCAGCCGCAGCACTCGTATTAAAATAGGACATGAACGTATGATTCCATGTCCTGAACGACGCTCGCGTATCATTGAGTCCTTTCCCTGCGGACCGATTCTCTAGTCTCGTTGTCTGTAAATCTACGTCTGTTCTGTCTGTTTGCTAAACTCTTTCGAGGATGGGAAGCTTCTCCAAGTCCATCTTCGAGTGTACTGTGAATTCGTTGACCAGTGTCCGCGAGCCTCACGAATAGTGGTGTAGGGTCGTGTTTGATTGATGAAAGTTTAACATCGGCTTGGCCGTGAGGCGATATCGATCGTGTCGATATTATATGTATAAATGTTATCTAGAATGTAATGTATTTAATTTATTAATTGGTAGGCAATTACCAAATCGGTTTGCGTATAGCGAACGTTATGTTTAAGATATTCCTTTCTTCAAATTAAGTTTCGTGATTTTTACGGCATCCTTGAGAATTCAGAAGTATATCGATGCGAAGAAATCCTGTGGGCAACCTAAATAAGTGCTCCACTCCTTTGCAAACTACCTGAAGGAATTGATTTTAGATATACTTGGACGTCTCAGTATCTGCATCCGTCGTAGTGAATTCAAACATCCATTTCTTTTAATTTCGAGTCGAATCGATACACAAAGACAGTATCGAATTCGATATTTCTAACGAGCCAAATAACGAAACTTCGCGACCATCGCTGAATAAACCGACTCGCCTACTTTTATAGCCGCAGATAAAACGAAAGTCTTGCAGTAGCATCAACGACGGGTCCAATCCTCTTCCCGATTGACTGTGTTTTCTTACGTCAAATGATACCAAAAAAAAAAGAGATACTAGAGAAGGAAACCGTGCACGTAGGCGAACATACAACACACAACATATGTGTACAACAAGAGGGAAAATCGATCGAAAGTTTCGTGGTGGAGATCCAAAGAGGCGTGCGTGGACGAAAGGGAGGGACTCACGGACGCGAGCGTCCACTTCCAATTGCTGCGAGCTGCTCCCCTGCCCAACTTGCGTGCCTGAAAACTTTTTTCTTAATGTTTAAATATATATTCGACACACACGAACTCCATCTTATCTCTGTATACCTCGTGAATAAAAAAAGAAGAAGGGAAAAAGGAGAAAGAGAAAGAAGAAGAAAAAGGAACGTGGACAGGCACAAGGTGTGTTTAACGTTTTACGTGTAATGTGCGTGGAGAACGTCTCCCCTCGATGAGGACAAGGGTGGCTCTTAAGCTGGACGAGCGCACAGCGAACGTCACATGTTAGAAAGAAAAGTTTCAAACTCGTTTACTAGGGAAATATATATCGTTTTAAGGAAGGGAATATATACGACATTGTGTTCGTTTCGTGAATTTTTGTTTCACTTGAGATCGCGTGCAAGAAGGTGAAAAGATAGCGTACAGTATTTTACGAATATTTTAAACGATATACAAATAAATAGGTTTCCAATTAACAGTTTCTTAGTCGTTTCGATTCGAAATAACGAAACGCCTGACACATATACTACTTGTCTGACTATCTTCTCCTCTTTGCGAGCTGATCCTTACGTTTTCTGTCAGTGGACGAAGAAAATGGAAAACGTAGAATTCTTCTTCGAGCTGTGATTAACGTTACGTCGAAAGCTTATTAAGTACAATCACGTGGTGACGTATCTTGCGTGAATCATAGCTTATATACATAAATACCAAACTTCGAAATTGTATTATATCTTCCGAGAGAAACAACTTGGAAGAAATATCTAAAAAATTTATAATGAACCGATTTATTTAAAGAAGAAAAGAACAAACTAAAATTTTGTTACGGTTGGCCATTTACCCCCTCCAATATTTTTACCTCTTCCCAATTTTATGTTATCGATAATGAGTAAATTATACCATCTCGTGATTGTACCTCCGTAATATACCTTCCAAAAGACAACCGAACACGAACAGAGGAAAAGAAAATCGGGTCAATCGAGTGAGCGGTGGTTAATCGAGGACAAAGTATATTATCAACGCACTTCCATGTCGAATCACGCTGGACGAGCTTGAAGGGCCACCGAAGAAGCCACGAAGCAAATGTCCGAAGCTGATGGAAGGAGAACGCAAAGTGATCTTATCCGCTTTAACGTCCGTAGGTTACATAGGATATTATATTGTTAGTGTATACAAAGTGTATGTACATGGCGCATGGGTACAAAGGCTACGTTTCCACCGAAGGGGGAAATTTTTTTTATAAACGGTCTACGCACGCCGGTCTACGCGTGTGTGCACGATGGTCCACCGTAAATATTGATTTTATCGAAAATTGTTACCGACGAAAATGCTGCAGTTCAAAGGGGATGCACCGTGTAATTTGTTTAATCGTCTCAAAGGGATTATTACACCGATTCACAAGGGCAAACAGTATATTTTCGGAAGAACGAGTTTATTTCTCGCGATAGAACATTGTAATAAATTTATTGGCGTGTTAAAAAAAGAAAATGTAACCTGAGATTTACCTTTGACCTATCTTCCTACACCTTGACAATTTCTTTCGTGTATCCGAATCTTTTGGACATTTGGACGTTCGTGTGAAAGATACTGCTTTCAGATGTGTTCAGAAATTCGAAGTAGCGAGATACTTCGAAGTATCCAAAAAGTGTTCCGTTAATTCTTCTCTGATGAAGGAAATGATGTTAGCATATTTCTCGTTAAGGCAGAAATATTTCCACGAAGAAGACGATAAAACCATGGCGACTAATTAAAAATGTTAAATAGTCGACTCTGAATCACGTGTTTATACATATTGAAATTTCTCACGAAATTATTTTGCACGATTTAAACGTCTTTTTAAGATTGTGTCCAGATTTTAAATTACGTAAGTAAATTCCTTTCCTGTAAAGTTTCAAGATGATTTTGAAATTATATCGTGAAACGTAGAACTTTTAATAACAAGTTGAAGGATCTCCTGTGAACTGTATTCTTTTCTTAACAATATTTAAAAAATAAATATTTATAAGATGGTGCAATTTTAATTGGACCAATCCGTGCACTCACATGAAACCGCCGCCAGAGATAAGTTTAATTGAACGAAATAGGACTAGACAAATAGAATGTAATCAATTCGCGAACGAAATCTACGAGACTGCGTGAAACGACACATAAAACAGGAAGTTGTAACACACCCCATAAAACATCACTACATCCTCATAAATAGCAGAACTGTATATGAACCCATTTGACAAGCAATTCATATACACAAAGAAATCCTCTGATTCTTCGTTCGAATAGGAGTTCACATTTATGAAAGATTCAATCGATAACAATTCGTTTAATCGTATTTAATTCATTGAGTAAGATTTCGTTTAAATAAATAGACTTCACATAAACGAAGTTCCATTGTACCTTATCCACAAAGCACGCTTCCGTTTCCGAGAACATCATACTAACATTTTAATCAAAAGAGTACATATGTTTTTTTTTATTCCAGAAACGAATAAAGTCAAACAAATGCAATTGTTATTATCATATGCAATATTAATACGAAATTCGTATCGGGTGAAATTTCGTTCATTTCGAAAGGTGAATGAGAATTCTTTACTTAGCTTCCATTTCTTTAGTTGTATTCATAACGGTATGAATTCCATAAAAATCCACCATCTATACATAATTGTATAATCCACCATCACGTATAACACACAATCCTTTACACATCCAGGATATTCGATTAAATTACCACTTCCTGTTTGAGTGAGGATTTCAGTCAGTCCGGAAAGACAGACGCCCTTCCTCGCCGTGTATGCATTGTGTGCGACCGTGAAAACTGTTGCCGGTTCTGAGCGGAAGTTAACGCGGACACGGGTCGGTCGACCTTATCGCGGTTAATTCGTCGAGGGTGGCCGATGTTCCGGTCGCGTGACGTTCGATCGTTCCCGAGCAAGTCTGCGAATGCGATCACACCGATATCTCTCGATACGGAAACATACCGGACGCGTTACGTTGCCGCTGGCAATTCAAGTTAATTACTTTAATTGATACTAAACGTTGACGTTAACTACGTGATCGGGGGAAGGGAAAACGAGAGTACGTTAACGAGCTGCGTCGACGGAAGTAATCGTGTCACGCGACGCGACGATTAATTTCTTCGACGCGATCACGTATATATACATGTTATATACATACACATATATATACATATATATTATACACATACGCACGCACACGGACACACATACATGAAAAACAATATAACATACGAGGACATCGTTATACAATGAACGAATACACGAATAATATACATACAAAAAGAAACAGATACCTATTATTGATAACATATTATGATATTCGATGGATTGTTTCGTAATATATTATTAATTTTCGGCGCGGTAATGACGCGTTGTTAAGTTGTCCATGCATTCGACGTGCAGAGATTCGTTCTATCCGACGTGATCAATCCCGATGTTGTTCAGACCTCAGTGAAACGAACATACAGCGACGACGTTATACACGTAGCGAGGATAAAGTGGAGAAAAACGAGGTGAGAGAGCGAAAGGAAAGAAGATAGTAACGATAAGATTGTACGATCAACACGCAGGGAAAAATTAGAGGAACTGCGAAGATCGAGATTTTTGGGGGCAGACGGGATGGAAAATCTCGAAGGAGAAGGAAACGACGAAGAAGAGATGCAAAGAGCGGATCGATTGGATGAAAGGGAAAAGGGTCACGTAGCTCTCTAGACAGTTACTTCGAGTTGAAGAAAAAAACGCGCACATATTCATTCACACATATATATACACTCGTGAAAGAACAAAAGCTAGTTCCTTAATCAACGATGGAAGAAAAGAAGGCTTATTCTCTGCCCTCAGAAATAGTCGAGCGTTCATTCCCGCGATAAATGTTGGGACCTGGTTTGTCTTGTCCGTCATTGTTTCATTTCGAAAGCGTTGTTTCGCGGCCACTACGAAACGCGAAACGGGACCAAAGAAAAAAAAGACACAATTGTCACAAAACGTTCTCATTCCCCTTCTATCTTCTATCCTCTTCTCTGGCTGCCTCCATTCAATCTCTCTCTGTCTCTCTAACTTCTACGATTCTCTCTTCTTAGCCAATTCTCTGTTATCCATTATAAAAGTATACCCCTCTATCTGTCTCTTACCTCCATATCTCTCTCTTTCTCCTAATTCCGCGCCCCCCCTCTCTCACTCTCTCTCTCTTTCTTTCTCTATACTTCTCTGTCGCGGCTCAACGTACTGGACACGACAACTCCACACGATATTTTTATATAGATTTCTTAAAAGTGCATTATAGTGCCAGGAAGACCACGCCAAGTTAACAAAATAATAAAAAAAAGTAAAATAAAAAAAACACACACGTAACGTGCAGTCTCAATATTGATTCATTAGGCGATAGGAGATTGATTCTATAAGTATTATAATGTATAAATTACGGGCTCTCGTGTAGCTGAATGATCGTCGAAGTGATCGACGAAGCGGCGCATTGGTCATGAGGGACACGATCGAGGCGGCTTCATACAAAAAGAGAAAAAAGGGGAATGAAAATTGAAACCGTTAAAAAAATCAACGTATGTTTAATTATAGCGATTTATATCGCGATTTTACGAAGCACGGAATTGATCAGAATTTTATTCGACCAAAACGTACACGCCAACCGTTTGTACGACGTTGAGAATTTTCGAGTGTTCCAGGCTGCGTCGTTCGCTAATAACCGAAAACAAGATTATCGACGAATAAAATTAGACTGACGAGCGCAACATCGTTGCTTTGAATCGTAAACTAGTCTCCCACGTAGACAGCGAGCAGCTAGGATCAAGGGAACTTGTCGTTTCCGGTCAACGATCGAGATAAGTTGAAGATTCCGCGTGAGATTTCCGCTGACGAAGGTGAGAAACATCGATAGAAAGATTTATGACTGGATCGTTTTGAAAGAAACGGTATTCTTTAAATGCAAAGTTAAACAACGGCAACGATCGTTTTTTAAAAGACAGCTGATAACAGAATAACAGGAAATACAAGAGAGGAAAATAAGCTACTTGTTGCTTCGTTCACATTGCAGACGTTGATATCGTTTCGAAAAATAAGTTGCGCCCTTTATCGACGAATAAAACAGTGAATATCGATTACAGAATCCTTCCACGATTTTATTTCAACGAGAAAATACTCTAAAAATCGACCTAACTTCCGAAATAATAACATCATCGAGTTAGCAGAAGGTTAATAAAAGGAGAACAGAGAGGAAAACGAAAGGAAAATTATGGAAATGAATTCCTTGCCAGAAGCATGTAAACATATCTTCACAGGAAAGGTTTGTTTTCGCAGAAGAATGAACGGAAATGGAGGGAAAAGGGGAATCGACTCAATGTGATAACCCGTGAAAAGGACTTTAACCGGCGATCTATATATATATATATATATTGCCCGAGTGAAATTGTTTCATTGATAACTCTTCCTCACACGTTCATACACACAAATAATTATATCGCGTGTGCATATGGGACGAAGCGCCTTTGTCCACTCGAAATATTTTCGTTATTTTGAACAATGCTGACATAAATATTTCCAACGACTCTATCAAATAAGTACGCAAAGATTGAAAGAATCTAGTCTTTGTTTCGCTCTAAACGAACAAATTTTTAATCACTACCAAATATACTTTTTATTAAGGTTAATTACAGAGTAACTAATTAATTATATATTATAATTAATTATATAGAGTAATTAACGACTATTCGATCGTGTTGGTCAGAATAACAGAAATATTTTCAAAAGACAAAGCTCCTACCCCGTCGCAGATATGCCGAGATTGATTTGTATGTTTATACCTGTACATATGTGTATACTATATTATGTAATATACACGATATTATAGTATATAGTGTATATATATATATATATCGAAACATGTATTATGGCCTTTGTTTCAAGCAGAGTTTATATACGTATGTTTAAGGAAGCAAAGGAGGACGCTTTTGTGTTCAGGGGCACAAGTTCCGACATACACGCACTTACGATCGCCATACTTCTGCGCCCGTCGAGTGTTTCGTGAATGTTTAAATGTTGTACTTTACATGTGTACATATGTATTTTGTACGTTCGATGAGCTCGA